GGGGTGACGTGACGTACACTCAAGCACATGGGTTTAGAAAGTATTTTTTCTTTTTTCGTAACATGGAAAACGGACAAAAGATGATTGGGGAGCGAAATAAAACTTGATACCTTCAAAAGGGGACTCAAAACACATCCATTTAAGAAATATTCTAATTAATGGACAGTACCTTTGCCTTTTTGTATGAGTATTTTTTATTGTATGAAAGAATGTCGCTGTCAAAAAGTGCGCACCTGATGAATTTGTATGGCGTTAGTATGAATGCGTTTTTAATCTCCTATGTATGCCTTGGGCCCATGTTGTGGGGAAAGGCGGGATACAAATGCTCTTATTATTATTATTATTATTATTATAAAAGATGACGAGTTGCTTCTAGCGTCCACGAAGAACCTTCTTTTCTAGAATAACAAGAGATATAGACAACAACAAAAAATAACCCTAAATTTTATCCGATATACGATTTAAAGTACAATAAGGGGGCTCTCTCGACAAACGCTGTTTTGAGAAAATCGAAGGTAAAGTTGTTGTCCTTTGTTCAGATTCTTTTAAAGAAAAGGAGAGTTTTCTCTATAACCAAACAAATATACACACCAATGAAAGCAAACTTCTCCTATAGGTAGGGCGATGCCCACTTTTGGTGTAGGTCAAGATTTCTGGAAACTCCCAAAATCTGGGTTAGTCCGCTTGTCCTTAAAACTAACCATATTATTATACAAATAAATATTCATGTATTATAAATAAATATATATTTTTCAGTTCGCTGCGGAAAGTTCCCCTCCGAAGGAATTTTTAACACGGTATGACTCATCAAATTTATCCAAGAACGCCCCCTGAGAAGCAAGGGAAGCGCCGCCATTAAATCTAATTCCAGTTTTTAAAGCAGAATCAGGAAATATGGAAACGGGGTACTTTACAAGATTTCAACATTGCACACGGACGAATCTGTGTAAAATGAATACTAAAACGTATTTAAATGATGTTTTGATAAATTATTTATATGGCGGCAGGTCATAATTAGGATAAAAGCGCGATGACTTTGTCAATCTCTCCCCCCTCTCAAACCTGTAATGAAAGAATGCTGTAAAGATATAAGACATATCTATTTCTACAGGGAAAAAACCCCCAAGCCAGAAACATTTTAAACTATAGGTTTTGTAAAATAAACGTAGAGAATATGTTTGAGACCGGAATATTTGACTTAACTTATCATAGCATGGGAATCCTTAATGCTGAGAGGGAATGGATAATGATAACAGCTGGGGACGCCCTCTATATTTAACGTTTTTCGTAGATATAGGGACCAAATAGTAAAAAAAAAAAAAAGAACATATAAATATCTATAGAAAGTGTACATATTTTGTTGTGCTAAAAAGATGCTTTTTAATTATTTTTTTCTTCGGG